ACTCTGGGCCTGTGTTGCTTGCTCTGATTCTTCAGTGATGTACAGTGGATGATTGAACTCCCAACCCCTGTGCTCTAGTTCACTGAGCTATCCAGAAAACCCTATTAGCATTGCTATAAGTTGAAAGCAACTTAATGGTACAAAGTACAGTAACACAAACTTAACTAGCAGGTTGTGTGTTCCTTATTTTTGATTCCTGCATCATCCGGTAAAGTCGCCTGACAAGTACTAATTACAGTGAATGTTATGTATTTTTCTTCAATAACCTAACAAAGTATACGTTAATGTTGAATGAAAGGTGGTTGACGCTTACCCAATTATTGAAAAGAGCAGTCATAATGCAAATAATTTGTTACCAAAAAAGAAGGAAATTGCTGTAAAATCAGGTTCTTATTCATGGTCTCTGACTCATGCCCATGGGTCTGCTGAAAACCATCTTTGGAAAGTTCCACAGTTGAGTAGCTTTTGGAGGTTTTCCCATCTCATCCTCACTGCCCATAAAATGAAATCCAATATAATAGTACTGTACTGTATATCACTTAGTTACTTCGTAGATTTAAGACAAAGGATTAACGCATAATATACATTGCACTTAAATGTTAACTTAATTTTTTCTATGCAGCAGGAATTCTATGTACTGTATTGTGGATATAGAATTATCATACTGCTAAAATTCTGTTGCATAACCTAGCCATGTAAGGCTTAAAATGTCATTAACCTTACATGGAATGACTTATGCAACAGGATTTCAGCCACTCTGTACTGTTCTTCATGCAGGTTTAAGTATTTTGAAAATCTTTTAAAAAGTGACTCATTTAAAACTGCAGTGTTAGACATGACATTTCTGGAGAAATTCCTGTGAAGTTACAAGAAAATTGGAAGGACTGAATAATCTTTATAAAAAGGAATTGTTGTAAGCCCCCCCTCCTCTTGGCTAGCAGAAGTAGGCCACTACACATATGCAAAAAAACTCATAAAACTCTGTTAGAATTTTGGGGGGGATATGTATTGAATTGTACTCTTAAATGCATTATTCAGAACAAGAAAATACATTAATGCTTATAATTTTCATAACTGATACAGGATGTGGAATTCTGCTTTTCTCAGTAGAGGCTTATTCTCTGAGGTGCAGAGTGAGTAGAGCCTTTTATATATATAATCATTGCATTAAAGTGTATTGGAAAGCTTCTACAGAAAAGCTTTTCAAGTGAAGCTTGGCTCTCTGAACACTTTCTCACCTAACTTTAGAAACATGTTAGCAAAACTAGGACCGAAAAGAACTAGATTTCATTGTTTTCTGGCATTTAAAACCAAACACCCAGCTGGAACACTGTGTTGCAATGGATGGTACTCTGTGTTTCTAGAATGTGATCATGTTTTAAATTTGTTTTAAAATAGTATCACACTACCCTAAAATCTCTCCCTTTTGTTTATGTAATATTAGGTTGCTGAAGCTTTCTGATAAAAGTTAACTAGTAAAGGCCAATTTGCCTCTTACTAAGAAGCCTGAGAGCAGAGCTCCTCAAGTGAGAACATATAGTTAACATAAATAACATACAGTACAGTACATCATTAAATTCTTTGCCTCTTGCAAAGTTAAGATCAAATGATATAACATTAGTGAATGTGTATAAAATTTTATAGTGGCTAAAACAGAAGGTTTCAACTAATGAAAAACCTCAGTTCCTTATGAAAAGTTCTTCCGATACACACTTTTGGTCACTACAGTTGCCAGTGACATTGATCTTGTTGGACTGGAATCAAACCTCATGTGACACAAATGCTGAAGTTGCAGCAGTGGCGTGGGCTTACTCAGTGATCTGTGTTGTTATGGCTGTTTTCTTTTTTATTTGTGGCGACCCTAATAAGGTTTTGAGATACATGAAGTGATCAAGGAGTAGTTTACCACTGCCACCCTAAGGGTGTTTCTGTGACTATTTGGGAATTTGGACCCAGCTACTCTTCACTACACTGGCCCAGTGATTCATAGGACATCTTAATTCATGAACATTTAAGTTATTTCAGTAAAGTTCTTAATTTTTTGTTAACCACCAAAGTGTCTCTTTTATTTTACTATGTATTATTTTGATTATTTTACTTTTTAATATATGTTCAGAGCTCTTGCTGGTTTTGAAGGAGAAAATTTATAAAGGAAATATCTGCAAATGTTACCCAATTATAAGTGGCAGGAATCTATGGAGGAATATCCTGAGGATTTACACAGTTTCAGGGTGGGTTAAAATTGAAATTTTTTCAAAAACAAAGTACTGTATTTGATTTTTTAAAATTAAAATCAGATTTTTATGATTTTAATCAAATTTATTTTAATGAAATGCTTTTAGAAGAAAAATATCTAAAGGTAGTTGTCTGTTTAAGATACAGTATAGTCTAAAGGTTACTCAGCATAAAATAGAACTCTTTCATTTGCACTATGCTACAGCATGAAGTTGTATATTCACACAGTATTTACATTTTTGTTAAACTAATTCAGTTCATCCAAGTTATCCAAGCTGAAATAACACACACTTTTTTAGAGTAAAAATCGTACAAAATAAACAAGTTCAGGAAAAGACCTTAATCCCATTGTTGTTCTGCAGATTTATATACAAACAATGAACATATTACCTTAAATGCTAGGTTTGAAGATTGTTTGACATGAAATATATTTGTATCAGGCTCTAAATATTGATGTTTAAGCAAATACAAAAATATGTACTGTATGCTATATAATGTTATTGTTTTAGTTAAATAAAATAATTTAAGTAGTTCTCCAAATATGAGAATCACTATTAAACTAAAATAGGTTCTAATACATCTGTTTTACTAATCTGACAGGTTATTATTTTAAATATGAAATCTTCATCTGATTGCAAATATTAAAGATTATAAGAACCAGCAAGAACGAGTCTTTACATTTAAAAAATAATGATTTAAATCAAGTTTTGCTGACTAGTGATTTAAATCGTGATTTGAATCAAATCCACCCTGCATAGTTTTTATTTTTTAAAAAACAAGACTTGGTCAGAAATAACTAGGACAGTTTTGAGCTGTCCTGTCAATGAATGTATATGGCTTCTTACTACTATGTTATAATTTAATTTTTATTTCCTGTCATGTATTTGCCTGCAATTCTGTATAATACTGTGACCAATGGCAGGATTTGGCTTGATGGTTATCATTAACTCAGATGGCAGACAAACTGATGGGACTGGCCACAACTATGACAGAGAAGGAAGGCTAATAAACAGGAAGACACCAGGTGAAGGACAAGCAGCAGCCTCTTTTGGACAGGAATGGCATAGAATTTACTAACTTCATCGGAAGCTGTTAATATTGATATTTCTGTTATCAAGTAAAATGAATGCCTACTTTAAATACTCCTCCAGTATTTCTTATCCACCTGGGATACAAAACATCATTTTAAAGACAGCAAAGAAATACAAACCTTAGTATAAATTGATCAGTAAAGGCTGTTAATCCAGCATGAATATTACTTTGGTCATGCATCTGGCAGTTCTTTTCTTTTAAGAGTAAAAGTGGGCAAAATATGGTACTCTGGATGTTGTTCAGCCCCTGCTTCCAGCATCCTTCATCAGCATATCCAGTGGTGGAGGATGCTGGGAATTGCCTAATAATACCTGGAGGGTCATTCCTTGCAGTCTGGAAAAGGGTATGTTTATGTAAGTACAGTTTATTTCATGCGTTTTGGAAAAAATAAGGGTACCACTTTGATTTTGATTTTTAAAAATTTGGGATGTGAAATATTTCTTCTCCTGTAACTCTTTGTAAGCAAATAATGTTTGCATGACACTTGAAAATTTCAGCTATGCTGATTCATTTGCACCGAAAGATCATAGGAGAGTTTACGAAAAACATTGTCCTGTTGCCCAGTTTGACATGGGTCTTCAGCCTGTGAAAACAGATTTTGGAAGGCCTTTCAGTCTTTCCAGTTGCACAAAAAATGAGAGATACATTTGTTGTGCAGATGTTAAACTGGAAGGGATTGTTAACTGTTTTTCTGTATTTCCTGAATGGAGAGAGAGACTGCTGTGGAATGTTAACATTATGTAGGTGCAGGATGTGAACAGCATATGCTTCTATTCAAGAGTCACAATAGTTTGGCTTAGTAGTGTTTTGCTAACAAAATGATGACATTGCTATAGTTGAGTCAAGATGTGAGATTATTAATTGCTCCGTTGGGGCAAAGATAGAGTAGAGAATATGGACTTTGTGGTTCAGACCTTCAACAATGGTTTAGCAAAACTCTTTCCAAGTCCTGGTACATTTATTGATTTAAATTGCAGCTGTATGAATGTTGGCAACATTTACCGGTAACAGATTTAAGTGGAGTAGTAGTTTCAAGTTCCTTTAAACTGTATTTTCTGATGATTGCAGTAATTATGTTGCAAGCTTATTTGTATCCAGCTAGGTCAGAAAACCCCTGTTCTCCAATAATATCTGAAGGTCCACTTTTTCCCAATCCTTAGTGTACAGCCTTAAATTCAGACTGTAGATCAACTTCCAGAAATTATTATAAGGGCAGGAAATTTAAAATGAATCCAAAGATCTGAAAACACCTGCTTTAGGATAAATATAACTTTGAATATACTGCTTTTAGTTTCAGAAAACACCGATTTCTGTTTGTCTACACAATTTTATGTCTCCTAAAAAGAGTACACTTCCATTAGGAACTTCATATGCTACTATTACATATTTCAGAGTATAATTTCCCTTTTCTGCTTCTTCAGAAATTGAGGACAGATTGCAGTACACCTCCTATCTGGGAATAGGCCCTATTGAAAACTGTGGAGCTTCTGGGTAAATGTATATACAGTGGTGCCTTGCAAGACCAAAGTAATTCGTTCCACGAGTAGCACCGTCTTGCGAAATTTTTGTCTTGCGAAGAAATAAACTTGTTGCTTTGTTTTCAAATATAATTTTCAATTTAAAACGACTGAGCAGTGTTTAAGAACATTTGTGTCGGTTTTTTCCTCTTATAGCTATCAAGTGCAAACCCAGTGTATGAGAAGTACTACCGTCAGGTAAGATGTGCTTTATTTCCAGTGATTATACTTCTGTTTGAAAGTAGTTATGAATAGTTCACATTAGGAGAATAAAAAGGTTTTCTTGTCTTCTGGCTATGGAATGAAGTAAATGGTTAAGATATAAAATTATTTTGGGGATGTATTTCACCAGTTTTACAACTGGGCTTTGTAATGACTCTTGACTTTTTAATACAAATAATTACTGTGCCAATACAAACCCATAATTGTTGGTTACAGATGGCAGTTGTAAAGTTAATGATTTTATACCATCCATTTCTTGCACCATTATAACCAGAATATGCAGTGTTGTATTATAATGGATCCTTGTTAGTTGGCTGAATAAAACTCTGTCAGTAACTTAGAACAGTTCTTTGAATGCATAGTTTAACTGTACTGCTGTTGCTTTATTCCTGCAACTTGGAGAACTATAAAATGTACTGTAATTTTCATAATATGTGGAAGTTTAACAAATGAAAGGTCTGTTACCTTAGTTACAGTGGTGCCCAGTAGTATCATAGTCAAGGGCAGGAGTCAGTTCTGAGTTCTTTTCAAACCAGTGTGCAGAAGTTTCTATAGCCTGTATAATCATAGGGCGAGAACTGTATCTAGGTCACTTCCTTGGCAGTTGTAAACATTGCTGCTTTGATAGAATAGAAATGTCCTTTTGCTTAACCATAGAACTATATGGGACTCTGCTGCATTTGTAAAGATTCCAGATTCTTGTCTTCATCTGAAGGCAGATGCTTGAGTTTTCACATAGTAATCATATTAGCTATCAAATACTAATTACATTTATGCAGAAGTAAATAGGAGATGTACATAAAATGGAAGTAGAAGGTAGCCTCTCATGAGCAAATGTTATAAGTGATGGTTTCCTTCTAGCATAATTGAGTGCCACCAAATGTTGTAACATTTGAAAAAACATCGAACAGTGAAAATCTTGTAGTTCCTATCTAGTTCAGCCATTCTCAGCATTTTTGCCCATGACCAGAAACACAGTATGAAAGAATTATAGGCCGAATCAGGATTGTATAAGCCACATAACAAACCTTATAAGGTGGTGTGTGAAGATTTTTTTCCAGTTTGTTGCCCCCTTCAGATGTGCCATATGGTACCCATTGAAAATGGCTGCTCCTAGTCAGTGCACTAACATTAGGGAATATTAGTGCACTGATCATATAAATTGTTTATATTTGTGAAACTACTCCCTTGATTTCAGTGGAATTGATTATCATGTACTGGTTTTAGGGTTGTTACCTATATGTGCATTTTTTGCTTGGTATTAATATACATTGAATGCAATATAGAAAACAGGCAGTTCATCCTTGTTGACATTAACAGCCATAGCTTCTAGGTCTAGGAAGTCTTTGGACATGTGCCTTTTAAAAATTAACAGCTCAAATGTTCTACCCATGGTGCAGGAGTCTACTAAAGACATGTAGTAGTGGTCTTCTGTGGCAAATGGCTATACTCGCAGTTGATGGAATTTTTATAAACTGAAAATTCTTTTTAAAGTATGTGTGGCATAAACAATTTGCCTATGAAAATTTTCCTCTTCAGTCTTGCAGCAAAATTACATATACAGTTTTGTAGATGTGAGTATCTTGTTGACTTCATCTTGCCTCTTACTGTTAGATCCAGAAGGAAGCATTAGTTTACTAATAAAAAGGTAACAATTTTTGTCCAGTCGTGTCCGACCCTAGGGGGCGGCGCTCATCCCGCTCTTCAAGCCATAGAGCCAGCGTTTTGTCCGAAGACAATCTTCCGTGGTCACATGGCCAGTGTGATTTAGACACGGAACGCTGTTTACCTTCCCTCCGAGGTGGTCCCTATTTATCTACTTGCATTTGCATGCTTTCGAACCGCTAGGTTGGCGGGAGCTGGGACAAGCAACGGGCGCTCACTCCGTCATGTGGATTCAATCTTACGACTGCTTGGTCTTCTGACCCTGCAGCACAGGCTTCTGCGGTTTAGCCCACAGCGCCACCACGTCCCACTAATACATTTGATGAAAACACAGCTTTTTTTTATCATGGTAAAACGAACAATATCTCCAGCTATTTATATTATGAAGAATTATTAAATTAACACTCTATACTAGAATGGCATTCATATCCATAGTTTTAGTTTTCTGCTGACCATCAGAAATTTGTCATTTTGTCCCTGCACCATTACAGTGCAATTTTTTTTAAACAAAGCTTTTTACATATTTAAGTGTTCTACCAAAAAAATGTTGTTTGCTCCTTTTCCTTTTAAAAATATGTAGGTTTTGAGGTTTTTATCTTTCTTCCTTTGACAGGTTGACCCTACTAACTCTGGAAGGGTGCTGGCTTCTGATGCAGCTGTCTTTCTGAAGAAATCAGGGCTGACAGACTTGACCCTTGGGAAGGTATTGCTTTGTATCAATTAATGGGCTAATCATCTTGTATTGGCTTTGTAAAGAATTTAAATGCTGTCACTTGCCCTCTCTTCATGTGCTGTATTTCACCTGTGGTTCTTAAGCGTTTCAGGAGTTAACCTTCCTTGGAAGTAGTCTTCTTTGAGCAGTAGGAGTTTTGATTTCAGGGACTTATGAAGCCATTATGCAGAAATGCCATAATGTAACCCAGAAATAAGGACATTTCAGCCTGTTGAAAAGAAAGAGGTTTAAATATGCTTAATTGTCTGATACATAGTAGTTACTATCTCAGGTATCTCTGTGGACTGATCAGGAGGCTTTAACAGTTGAACAGTGTGCTAAAGAAGAGAACAGTAACCTACTGCCTATAGCCTGAAGCATCTGAGTGAAATGTAATTATTCATATGCTGTGGCTGATAGTCCTGTGACCTTTTAAGCATTCTTGGATTTTGTCTCTTATGAGCCTGTCTTACCTGACCAATGGACCAATTTTCTAGCTTTGGT